TAGCCACTGTATTATGCAAAAGCACCGGTTGTCCAATGACCAGCCGTAACCCGCGCTTTCGGTTTATCCATCAGGTATCTCTGTGTAAGATGGCAGGCAAAGGATCCGAGCGATCGCAAAGAGGAGTAATAATTGTGGTATCGGGAGGTCGGTACTTCGGCAATTTTGTCTGACAAATTTGACGCTAGGTCACTTCTTGCCAAGGCTATTATTGACCGCTTTATTAGAGTGACTAATTTTATACGGTAATGGTAACTGTAATGAACTGTAGTTTGCGATACGTTGGTGTTCACGGTTAGTCTCTGTTTTATCCGAGGTTCAAAGCTTTGTGAATGAACATATTTCGAATTTTCAACCCACGGAAGGAAAAAGGCAACTCCTCGCCACCCGGATCTTATGTCACGCTCACACAGATAAGAGTCCACCCTCGAAAAATCACAGGGCAAATTGAGATGACCAGCATTGAGGTGCGCCATGCCAAAATTGCTGAAAACTACTCACGTTTAGCGGCAAATAAGTTAGGGGACAAATCCATAAATAAGCTTGGAAGTGAATTTCCATAAACCACCTTGATAGCTTGACATCGAAGGACACAAGTAACTTTAGCATGCGTCCAGACAGTTATAACTCCAATTAAGAACTTCGTGTTATAACGAATCGGTTGGCAAAAGAGATGGTAGCTTGTTAGAATGCATTATAATCTGCTAAATGTTTACTGAAACCTCATGGAATTATCTGTGCGTGCCCTCCGACACGCCGACAGTGTTTTTAGATAAACAGGACACACTCGAGCCAACGAACAAGAAGCAGGCGTTGGGGCTTTTCATATTTTCCTTACGGAAATAACTTTAATGTCAGGCACCTGAGTAAAAGAAATCTGTCATTGAGTTAAGGAGTCTAAAACATGCCACTCAAAGAGCGTAGTTAATGCCAAGCGTTTAATGTAAGTATACAGTAACAAACGCCTCATTCAGACCTCTTGGCCAACCTGACTAGTCTGCCAGCCGGAAATGCAGAAGTCTTCTCCAGGGGAAAATAATCAAATCAGATGCGCGTCTGTCTGGCCGCTCATAGTACTGACCTTTGTCCGACAGTGGCGGTTGTGGCAATAGAATCGTACCTGAATTTAGTTAATAGTTGAACCACCTCTCATTATGCTAACTCCCGACATCTCTACCTGGTCAACATAGGTCGAAATTCCGCCTGGTGTCGCGGCGAGAACACGGTTCGCAAAGTATCGAGGTCTCCCCAGCTTTAGCAAGTGCGTATGGTCCACCAAGGACGATACTTCCCTTCCATATGAGTATGGCAAGATATTTCGGTACGTTAGTCTCTGTGCCTTATTTCTTGTCTTTTGGGAACTTTTTCTTGGAATCAGACACAGTGTCTGCGCTGACGCTTGGTGTCACGAGCCTATTATTTCAAATCAAATCAGTGTAATTGAAGTAAACGACGGAAGCCCTTGGGAATTGCATTTAAAAAAATACAGGGCTGCATGAAGAGCAGCCAAGTTCAAAGATTTACAGGTAATGTCAGGATTCCAAATGCATAAAACTGATGATGAAGCAGGAGTGTTGAGGACCTGGTGAATTCGATAAACAAGAGTGGACGATACGCCAACTGCATTTGTACGCAATAAGTTCTACGGTGTTGGAGTTAATGCAAACAAAATGGCTTATTGAAATCAAGATAGTAGTATGTTATAGTCATAACGGTGACTTATTAGTAGGGGTTTGGGGGTCCTGACTGACCTCTAACAGGTGAGCATCCAGATGTCTCTTAGGCACACACACTTTAGAAGGGCGCACGACATACGTCGGCAAAGAATTCCACTGTCGAATGACTGTTTACGAAAAAAGAACAAACGTTGATTGGGGCGGCAATCATGACGTCGAAGATTAGTCTTCGGTGCCATTACGAAAAGATTTTCCCAGTTCATATCGCGTAAAGTCCCCGTAACAACTAAAACGTTAGTACAAGATCATCCCTTTCTTGTCTACTTTGGAGGGGACAAGGATGACTCGGCAGTCATGCCTACCACCTTTATACTCAGCGGAAGCGCAAGCCCATTTACCGGCAGGGAAACATGTGTCAGGGAACTGCCGACGCATACCAGACTGTGTGGGCCATGGTCTGCTGATACGGGCATATCACACGCTTTCAGACCTTTTGACCACTATGACGCACAGTGAATGGCTCGCAGCACTGCCCGCGTTAATATAATATATTTCATAGATATACATGAGTATTCACCAAACCCCAATGAGAAATCGACCTTGTCAACTTGCTTGGGTTTCTGAATTTGAGGCCCTAGGGATCTGCTTTCGCTTTAGAGAGGCTCCATATTGTGCCTGCGTCTGACGAATCCGGCGACTATAGTCACCATCCCTTTCTTTACTCGCATGAACGAGTAGGCCTGTGAGCGAACGGTCCTCCCACTGGACAACTTTCTCATTTAGACGAGCGAAGATTAAGTGCGACTTTTAAAGTCCGAAGGGCCCAAGGCTACAGCCTTTACTGGGAAAAAATGTCCCATTTCGCTGTCTTTCATCGTTGTCATGAGAAAAGGGGACACTTCTCGCTCCCATCTCCTAATTAGAACGTTTTCTAGCACAAACTCCTGGAAAGAGGTAACACACCCACGCAAAATGGGCCATGAGACGAAGTCCAAGACTAATTCCCTGAATTTGCGCCAGTTGCTCTTTTTGCTACAGCACTTTTGAACGTCTTAATTATCTTTCTTTGGTTTGGGCCACTGTTCTGCTGGACTTGTAAAACTAGGCACTCATAAAGGGATGGATGCCAGCCGTATCAAATTGTGCATCGCACACATGATGTAGCCCGTAATTTCAAATACTTGGACGTTTATTAAGACAGCTTACTGAATATGCTTAACTCGGAATGTCAGGAGGTTTGCTACAAGGTAGAGTCGAGCAGCCGGTGCGCAATTGATCACACGCATAGGCAGTTTCCATTGAAATCCCAGCAAAACAGTCGCCCAGACTAAGTCATGCTCGTCCTGCGATCCGCAATTTTTTTCAAACAGGCAATCCCCGCTGACATTTTCTCTCTCTTGTCAAAACTTATTTTCTCCTACTTAATATCGGCCCGCAGAATTTAGACATATGTTATTTTGCAGGTTCGCAAACTACCCCCACAATCGTCGGACCATCACGAAGTATACGTTGACTGAACTGCGCAAACTTGCAACTGGTGAGGCAGTTGACCCTCTTGGTTGTCCCCTGCATATTCCCTCTGGTTCGCTGGCCACCCTTACGATCGGCCCAATGGACCGTCAGGTGGCCTCCGCCTTGCTCTCCACCCACACTCAGAGTTTAGAAGGCGACCGACAGGTTCAACCACTCGTTGTTTGGTCCTTACTGCCCTACGAACGCTGTCTTTCCGTACTTCATCTTACGCTGCAAAAGCGTGCAAACGAACTGACAGAGGATCCACCAAACCCCAAGGGTAACGCCTTTGACGCTGACCCCATAATGGCCAAGGAGCCCACCCTCTTTCAAGTGAGTGACTGAGGCTCGGTATTGTGCTCCGTACATTAGTCGTAATGCCCGGAACTGTCTTGTGTCAACCTTCAGCCTTAAGTCCTAATTTGGGTCATGGTGACTTGAGCTTGGCTCGCTTCTCTGATACCCGTTAAACACTCTGTCCTCCGGTTTCTTTTAACTACGGCTGCAAACTACTCTTATTGTGGGTTATGCTTTGGTACGTCTGAGCTGCCGACCACTTGCTCCGTCATTTAGGCGTTCTGACTATTTTCTACCACTGTCTTTTGCCTCTTGCATGAACTGAGTATGACAGTTCTACTGCATGTCTGTTTTCTTCCGAAAACGCTCCCACTCTTGTCATTTTGTCAGTTTGACCGTCGCGAACAACGCTGTCCACCGTGTGCTCCACAGCGAGGCGTACGCAGTACGGTGACTTGTGCGTGAATTAACTTGTACTGTGCACAGCGTCTGCCACACACCCCTCGCCCACACTCTTGGGCTCGGTTGCCAGAATAGGTCAGAATGACCTGAGACTCGGTGGCTAACCAAACCGAACACCGTCTACGCGTGCCATACACGACCTGGCCTCCCACACAGCACTCCGGATTTTCACACGAGGGGAGTTGGTGGCTCGGACCTCGCATGCATGAGACGGTCATGAGGGCTACATCAGGCTGTCAGTCTACCAGTCGGCCACTCCACATACGCAAAAAGCCAACTGCGAGGGCTCAGCTATACCGTTAGTTAGCAACCATCCAGGCTACGACGTTTAGCGTGTCGTGATGGCTTTAAGTTGAGGAATGCATTGATTTGTCGTTGGCATGAGGTCCTCAGAGTCCACCTCAATCTTTCTCCCTCCCCGCATACCAGTCAATTTGTTGGGATTGGGTGCAGTGACCGACGCAGCTGCTGGAGCCCATCAGCATGTGACACGCAAGACCTGGTTAGACACCAGACTGCGCCAACGGACACGCTTACCACTTGCGTGAGAAGTACCTATTCTCTTTCTGCCGTGGGTGATGTGGACGGGTTTTTGTGTGGTGTACGGGCTAGTGGGGGAAATGTATAGTGATGGGATTTGGTCTGCGGTGTTTTACCGCAGATTTTTGTGGAGGCTTGTGTGACCGAGTAGGTCCATGTGGTGAGTGAGTATGCGTGGACAGTGCGGGTGATACTGGTGTATGTCGGGACCTCGGGAATTGGTTCGCCAGTCTCGGCGCAATGGATTCGCAAGTGACCGATCAGGCCAATGCGTGATGTGAAGGTGCGATTACGGTGGGAGCACTTTGGGATGAAGCCCGCATTGCAGGTTGTGGGGGCGTTAGTGATGGTGATGACGGATGATAGGGCATCCGGAGTGTTCTCACCGGTAGTGAGAGTGGGTATGGCGGTAGTCGTCCTCGCCGCCGGAGAGAGGGGTTGTGCCAGTGATGGTGGAGGTAGTGCAAGTCCGCGCGGGAATTTGCTCACCGGTCGTGGTAGTAGTAGTAGTGGCTCTCGTATGGGTTGCTGCAGGGTTGACGGCAAAGGTGTTGTCGTAGACAGTGGGTGTTGTGTTGTTATTAACATTGGGCCCAGAAATGTCCAACGAGGCCACTCCGCGCGCAGAATGTCCGTCGACAGTGTAGACACGAAGAGAGGGGCTGGATGGTTGGGGCTATGAGTCTGCGGCGCTTGCGGCTTGCGAGCCATCTATCTTTGGCAGCAACGATCCGGTTGACTTCGTAGACTGATGCTCTAGCCCTCACTGCCTCCTTGCATACCGGTTAATCCTGGCAAAGGTTCTTCCGGACCTCCAGATTAATTTGTAGATTCTTCCGTAGGCTGTCCTTATAGCGTCACTTTTATCCTTCCCGTCGCCGAGCATCCCTGGCGACGTCTCCGTAAGTGAGTCACTTGGGCAGGCACTTGTCATCCGTCCTCGCGAGCAGGCCGTTCCAGCGTAGATGCAGTTGCCTCAGCAAGGCGTATATGCTGAGGATTGGGGTCCACTCCAGGATTTCCGTGTCGGACGTCCTATTCTGCAACCCCAGCTTTGGTATTCTTCGGAGACGGCTGAGGTGGAAGAGGTTGAGTTTCTTGACTCGATCCGTATACGCGGTCCATATCTCCGCCCCATACAGTAGCATGTTCAGGACCGCTACCCTGTACATCTTAAATTTAATGTTTAATCTAAGTCCGCGACGGTGCTAGACTGAGCCCCATAGCCGACCGAAGTCTGGCAGAACCCATTAGTCTTCATCTATTGGTAATCATCGTTTAAAAGTGGCTTTATCCTGCTCTGTTTTGTGCAGCGTAGGGACTGCTGTTTTTTTTACGTTGACAGTTTTCCGGAGGTCGCGCTGTCGGTTATCTTTCAAATCAAATCGAAGCAGTGTATTTGGAGTAAATTACAAAAGCCTTCAAAAACCCCATTCAAAAATACAAGTCTGCATTCCGAGTAGTTGAGTTGTAAAGGTTCTCAGGTCATTTCAGCATGCGAAATGCACAAGACTGATAATAAAACAGGAGTGCTGGAAAGCTGGCGAATTTGGTAAACAAGAGCGAACGACACATTAACCGCATTTGCACACAAAAAGTTCTACAGCGTTGAAGTTAATGTAAACAAAAAGGCTTATTGAAATCATGATAGTAGCATGTCGATAGTCATAACTGTAACTCATTGGATGGCGTTTGGGAAGTTCTAGCTGACCCTTAACACGTAAGCATCCAGACGTCTCTTAAACACACTCACGTTGGTATAATGCACGACACACGTCGACACGGAATTCCGCTGTCAACGGACTCATTGTGAGAAAAAAAGATAAACGTTGATTGGTGCGGCCCAGGGCCATTTTAATTTGGCAATCATGATGCCTAAGGCTTGTCTTCGGTAACATTTCGGAAAGACTTTCCCAGTTCACATTGAGATCAAGTCCCCTCAACAACAGGAACGTCAATTTAAGGTCGGCGATGTCTTGTCTGTGGTGGAGGCGATAGTGGTTTAAGTCGGTCAGGCGCCGTTCGTGCGTCAAAATTTTGAATTCATGAATAAGCTTTTTCGTAGGTTGTTGCACGCCCTCCGCTAGCCTACCAACAAGCCTGCCTACTTCGTTACATTCACTCAACATAAACTGCTCATAATTTGCATCTCTCTCACCACAAAAGAGATAATAATCGTCTAGACGCACCAGGCTACTATGCGTACCCTCGCCCTCTTGCTGACTCGCGGGAGTCATCCCATCGTCCCTTGGCGTTGATTAATTAGGAACGCTTATTACTAATTACCAGATGCCATATATGGAATTCTGGGAGACAGTGATCCGCTAAACCGGCAAGCATCTGTCCAAACTTTTAACTAAGACGAGTGTTGATATAATAATGAATTCGCCCCTATGCAGCTTTATATACTACACAAGGCCCGTTAGTAGATTGCTGATAATACATGGCCGCTCTGCCGCAGCTCCTGAAATTCGGCTCAAATTTTCTCATAAACTCTCGGGTCGAACTCGGGAGCCTTGCCCCGGGGCCTCCTCCCAAGTTCTCGCGCTATTTTTTGGCAAAAATAAAATTCCTTGGCATTTTGAGATTTAAAACAGATCTGCATACTTACGTTTTCCTTTTTAAATCTCGCCTTCTAATGAGGTTATTCTGATAGGCAACTTTTTGCTCTTCTCGCTCATTTATCCCCTTTCACCTCCTTAGGTTGGGATCCGCCGGTTCATAGCTTCACCCATCTACTCACAGCCCAGTAAGGCTGCGAACACAAACGCGAAGGCAGAGAAGTTCTTCACGTTTGCCTCCTCACCCATCGTGGCGAGCATGTATGCACCGGTTGCATACGCGCCTCTACCCGTACTCCAGTTCAGACTTCGCCCTGAGGTAATTGGTCACTCTGTCTCATGACCCAGTTTAACTTCTCCATTGCTTTTAAAACATAATCGGAGTTTTTATTAGTTCGTAGGGCCATTTGGGCCGTTTAACACTGACGTTTCCTCCAGGAAACAAATTCATACGATAGGAAAACTTTTCAGTCCTTACTTTCCAAGTCCGCGTTAAAAATTGGCACTGCATATTTTAGAAGAGAACTATAACACATTTTGCTTGTGTTCCCTGTAAGTTCTTTTTTTTAAATTCTCCCACTTTAACGCCTTTGCAGAACATCCTGAGGTTCGTAACATATCGCTTAAATCTGGGGCTCCCAGCTTCGCAGGCAAGGTACAAAAACTGCGAACCTGCGAGCGCACATTCGAGGTCACTAGTGTGAATTCTTCAAAGAACCGAATATTCCAGATTTTCAGATCCTCTCAAGTGAATCTAGGAATTGTTTTTTTTGCTAATGACCTCAACTTGCGTAAGCTGACTTCTGAAGCATGAGAAGTGCGTTAGCTTACTTCAGCGTTCATGGCGCCACTCAAGAGTGTTCGTGAATATTTGTAGGAAGTCTCGGGGTCCCCTTGGTCTATAAGTTAAATTCCAATTCATAAGGCGATGGTGGCAGGGGAACCCTTATTGGATGACCGGGAACACTCCCCAGGCCGTTTCTTGGGTTCTTTCTTAGTTGATTGACTCGCAATATCAGCCACGCTCTGAGGTACTGCTCCTGCATGCTCAGATGAGGAACTGTGCTCGTTTCAAAACACGCCTTCGAAGGTCATCTATAGATGTGCCGAGTAGCTCATAACTAAGCTAACATACTGGTTGCACCTTCGAGGAGTCCCCGTCGTCATTTTGTGCGACTTCTCTATAATAACTCCGAGGCGCATCCAAGTATTGTTTGCTATAGTCGTGACTTGGACGGTTACCAACTGACGAGATAACACGGTCCTCCCCTGGAATGAGATTCAGAGTGCAGTAGCTTCCTAGTGTGGTTTTTATGGTATCACTCACGTGTGGGATCCAAGCCCTTGCGTGGCACACGTTAGACGGCGGCTTTCCGTCGGGCTAGCTACCGTCAAGCCTCATCCCAACCAACCTAACTACTGTAATTGGAGCGGAAGGTAGACACCATGCAAGCCCGTTTCGCTTCGGAAAAAATCCCCACACACTAGTTACTGTTGCGCATTACAGACAGCAGGGAACTTCATTTTGAACTTCTGCTGAACACACCTGTGACCATGTGCGATCTACTCGGTCTCGATGCTATTGCAGATTGCGTCAATCCACGCGTGACCATCTGGGGCATTGAATCTCGAAAGCTGGGCCCAATCTCTCCTACAATGACGCAGGTCCAAGAGTCACCCCCATGTCTTAACAGATCATGCCGGACCAGATTTCTAGTTGTCCTTCTCTTCGAAGTCTTCAGGTGTGCGTTAACGCCGGATCGAGGGCAGTGGCTCATGGGACGGACGACGAAGAACATGCCCAAACCACGTCAACTGTCACATGTCAAAACGATTGTGAGCTGTCTCACTCGAGATAAAGCCAGTGTACTTCACTCTAAGGATGGCTCTCAGGCAACTGTTGTCATATACCAAAGGTTTTCGCACATCTTCAACACGCACAGCCCAGAATTCCTTAACCGTGTGGGAGGACCAGACGGATGTCCGGCACACGTGATCCATGTGGTGACGCGGATATCGCGACGCTTCCATAGACACCAAAGCCTCGATAATACCTCGTGATAAGCGTCGATCTGGGCGGCAGTACCGTCCTTGTTCTGTCCATTTCGCAGCACCTTCGGTTCGAGATATTTTAAACTGCGGTTCTTCAGGTTGACAACCACTGATCTTGGGATGCAGCTCGAAACCCCTCTGACCTTTGTAACTTTGATGGGCAAACCGGCTGATCCGCTGGCATTATCCACCCGTGACACTTCCGAGAATCTAGTCAATAATTTAATTCTACAGGATGAGCCACAAGCTGTAACTTTGTCAAACACCAAGCCGAGTATGGATTAGCTGGGAAAAATTGTCGCGGACCAGAACTCACACAGCGGTGGAAATGTGGTAGGCTCTGATCGCAGCGACAACTATTGCCGGTACACTCTCTGACCGCATTATCCGCCACAAGCACTCACGATGATTCGTGGGTCTCTTTCTGCGCGGTCAAGCCATCGCATATGGGACGTATTCCATGATTGTTAGCAATGCAGTTGCACTCGGTTGCTGTTTGTTGTCCATTGATGAACGTTCCAGCCTTTAGAGCTGCGTTTCGTGACTGTCACCACTTGTTACAAACCTTCTCTCCCCTGTTGACTAATCGCTCAATGTCCTCTTCGTTGCATTTTAGACTGGAGACAACCGACGTGTGGTTTTGGGCGATTTGGCGGCTGTCGGTTCCGTGCTCTCCGTAGATCCCTCACGTGCCATCATCAAACGAGTCCTTCTTTCCGGCCACCCNAGAACGCTTGAGGGCCTTTGATGAAATCCATGTCCACAAAGCAAACGCTACAAGAGCAGTTATAGCCAGGACTAGGAGCGTGAGGAAGATAATTTCAGTATCCATGCCCTCATCATCTTCAAGAAGCTGGTCAAGCACAGGTGTAAGTCAAATAAAAAAGACTGAGGTACCGCGATAGTGGCATTGAATAGAGAGTGGAAGTAGGGCCGACCGCTCTGGTCATGATAGGTTAGGATTACAGCGAGGTCAAAGTGTTGGCCAGCCAGCTGTACGGATGGCGTGAAGCTGTAGAAGAGACTAGCCTTAGGGCATGCTAGGGAAAGTAGGATGGGATTACCTGCTGCCCCGGTTCAAGTGTATTTTGGAGGACTTGCGTGGTGAAATTTTGAATGTGGTAACCATAATAGTGAGGATAGTGCAAAGCGGCCTCCAGAGTATACAGCGAGTAGTGCACCGAGCCAGTTGTGGCTGAATTTTCCAGCGAGACAACAAATTTGCACACTTTCCCAGCAACTATCGAGGCAGGGCTAGTTGACCGCACGAAGCCAAGAGGTGGGTCAACGAATGAGAGAAGTGCATTCATGTTTTCCGCCCCCTTAAATTCACCTTCCGCGTCGAACTTTTGTAACATAAAGATAAATAAAAATATACCAAAACCTACAGTTTCGGGCTCTACAATAGTCGGCGCAATCGGCTCATCGTCAACAATTTCCACGTCATCGCTCAATGCGAGGGCAGCTAGAAGTAGGCACGAAGTAAAGATAAAATATAGATCTCAAAACGTCAAAACACAGAAGAACAGCAACAATCAAAAAATTGACAAACAAAAGAATTAACTGATTAAGCTTGGCTGTAGTATAGAAACGGGATCCGGGTCGTTGATTAGGATAACAAAGCTAATGCGGGCCAGGTGCACTGAGAACAGGGGTTAAAAGTCCCAAAATATGTCGAAGATAGAATATGCTGCACAGCTCGCGGGAACCCATGATATTGTTAGATAAAGCGAACCTCGAATGGCTGCTGCCATGCAGCTGCACCCTACAGCTATAGGGTCGTGAAGGCAGGCGAAATGGCACATGGGTATTTGCTGAATCGAAACATTTTGACGAAAAAGGAGTCGAACAGTAATATTAAGGGAGGAAGTTATGCGAATTATCGGACAATACGTTCACACGACAGAACGCAGAGCACCTACCGAGGAGGATGACAAGCAACGACCGAAGCATTTTTTAAGTGACGCGGCGTACGCGTGTACACGTCTAGCAAATTGTTTCGTGTCATTATGGATGAACTTGTCATTTCTTCATTAACTTAAGGATAAATATATGTTACTTTTAACTAAAAGATTATTTTGTTTGAAACGACCTTGAATAGTCAGCGGTCTTTTCACTTTTCCGCGGAGATGTACGCTTATATGTTCAAATACATAATCATCGGGGACACGGGTATGCTACTTTTATTTATTTCTTCACCTTCAAGGTGTGGGTAAATCCTGTCTCCTTCTTCAGTTTACGGACAAGCGTTTTCAACCTGTTCATGATTTAACTATTGGCGTTGAGTTCGGTGCCCGCATGATAAACCTCGATGGAAAACAAATTAAACTGCAAATATGGGATACGGTTAGTCCAATTTTTTATTTTCTTATTGTTAGGCTGGGCAAGAAACATTCCGTTCTATTACCCGCTCTTACTATCGCGGTGCCGCTGGTGCCCTTCTAGTTTATGACATAACACGGTTCGGCCTTATTTGCCTGTCTCACCGGCTCTGTTTTAGACGAGATACGTTTGCGCACCTAACGTCGTGGCTTGAAGATGCCAAACAACACTCGAGTTCTAACATGGTTATCATGCTTATAGGGAACAAGTGTGATCTCGAGAGCCGTCGTGATGTTCCTCGCGAAGAGGGTGAGGCATTCGCGCGAGAGCACGGTCTCATTTTCCTTGAAACTTCCGCAAAGACGGCCAAAAATGTGGAGGAAGCCTTTATTGAGACTGCAAAATGTATTAACGAAAAGATACAAGAAGGCGTTTTAGATGTAAACAACGATGTATGTATTGCGTTTTTCTAATTTCCCTACTGCTTCAGGCTAACGGTATCAAACTCGGCCCACAAAACTACCCGACTGGAGCAACATCTTCTGGCGCCGGCGCATCTAAGGGGACCTCGAGTGGCTGTTGCTAACGTGCCCCCTCCAATAAGCAACGTCTCTGCTGCATCTCGTTCCTGGCATCCCTTTCCATAGACGTCCGTACCATGTCTCAAGTACTCATTGATACTGTCTTTCTGGTTCTTAAATCTGATTATGCCTTTTGGTCCGTGTATCATGCGGTAAGTTCGTGCTTGGTCATCACGTCAATAGTCCAGTTATTATCCCTGAACCATGGTTTCTCTTTCCAACCACTTGTTGTTCGTTCGTCTTGTCTTCTGCCACCACCAACATTACTTCCAAACACCCATGTGAATACTTTGCTTTCACTTATAATATCCATTTGTATTCGAGCCCTTTTCATTGTTTCTACTGTACTTTTGTGGTGTGTTGGGTTCATTGAATATCAGTGAAATGGATCTTTATAAATTTTATCCCTTTCCTACCCTTGCACTATGTAAACATGTCGAAGCACCCCGGTGTAAGCGTCAACTTGAGAACCCACTGAGTCGCTAAGTTTTACATTTCCGTTAGGTGAATTGAATTTTCCTACCGAAACCCGACCCCTTTAAAGTCTTCCATTCTTGACGTTTACCGCATGTTTATCTGTTTGTATCGGCTGGTACCAGAGCCTGTCCGACTGGCTGCAACTCCCATGTCGTAGTATAATATCCGACGCGTGCCCTGATTTTAGGTTAACTGCCCCTTGTTCTGTTTGTCCATTTGGCACCAAACCGACGAACGGAGCACGTCCGCCCCAGTCGCATCACATGTCAGGCTTTGCTGTTTCCGTCCGTGATTCATTAGCTACTAAGTCGCTCACCCAGCCTCAGGTGGCTATTGTGCACGGACCTGGGATTCGTCAATAAAACTGAGTGGGATGCCTGGGACCAGTTTGCCGAGTTGCCAGTGGGGCGTGTCAGGGCCAGCACTTTCGTGAGATTTCGATAACAATACTGAGTAGGTCCCGTGCACCAGCATAACTCGAAGGGCCGTGCTGATGA